TCAATGGAAGCATTTACAAATCGACAAGGCAGTGGAATAGAACATCAATGATGAAGGAATTGAAATGATAAGAACTGATAAAGGCTCAAATTCAGTAAAATTTGAAGCCTTTCATAGCATCATTTGGATTGGTTGAAGTCGACCTTTCGGTGAGATGATTGAATAAGCATGTAGCAAAGATGAGAGGGGTCTCCTCTTGCTTTTTATAATTCGAACTTTCTCAAGTGAAAATTCCAATTAGATTTAATCTCATATGAAAGCAATTATTCAGATTGCAAACTGACGATTCTATCCCTTCGAACCCCATCTGTTTTGGTAACACCAAGGTCCATATATCGACCGACGGCTAATCAGCCACAATTTTTAAAATTTTTGAACAAGAATAACAGCAGCGAGCCAGTGAAAAAATTTGAAGTGCGCTGAGGACGTTGACCCTGACCCATCCAACCGCTCATGTTTTTGATGTGAGATTTACATTCACATCTTACGCAAGCATCATATGTTGAATACCCAGGAAGTTTCGGAGAGAAATGCCTCTTGCCTCGTTAGGTAAAACCACAAAGCCTTTAAAGCAATGCGCACTCTGGAAAAATCTAAGTTTTATTTACCTTTCTACGACTTTCTTGTGAATCTCCTGCTCCCAGTGTTCGTCATCTTCTGATCCTCCAATCTCGGGTTTAACGTTCGAAAGGGTCACACCAGCAACGTTGACGCCGGACCAGACAGCCACTTAAATCAGGGAGGTTGGAATTAAAGAGAACTTGGATACTCTCATAGCCTGAAGTTTTATAGCTAAGTTAAACAAACCGCTGGAGTCGCCATGTTCTCCAATAATCCATCCGTGGCATGAAGATGGAGCGATGTGCAGCTTTTCAGACAGCAAGAAGCGGAATCTGCAAATACGCGAATACAGCAGCGTCTCTTTCCAAATCAGAGGGCATATGGGCTGATGTGAATACTAGGCTCATCTATTCTTTTATATGTGGAGGTGGTGGAGTGGCGAGTGGCTTACTATCGCACACACTTGGTCACAGGTTCGAATCGTGGATCGATTCCCGTCTAAGCCAACCAAACCTTTTGTCTCTCCGGGATCTGTCAAATAATACTAGGATGTTTGGGAGTATAGAGGCACTTACTTGTACCGTCACTGTCGGCTAACTGCCACAAGCTATTGTATAGGACTTACACATCCAATATCCTTAAGGATTCCGAATGGATGTCGAACGCGGGGCGCGTACCCAAGCAGATTGATCGACGCCCCAAAGACTTCATAAGAGAGTTAAGGTGTTCAAGATAAAAATTCTTCTAATAACCCAAATGGGTACACATTAAATGTGAGGGGTACTACTGAGATAGAGGACGTACCTTGCTGAATCGAGATTTGTTCCCGAACCAAATACACGTTCCTTGGGGAGACCAGAGATTTTCCACGTCACATATGTGAGAACGTCGACTGAAACCATTCATATAGCCCTTATAAAATCTCATAAACGTATATTCAGTCACGATGGTTCTCAAAGGTATGAAAAGCAGGCACAGCTATGATCTATCACGACCACAACAGACCAAAAGAAATGTCGTAAAGTCACTATTTAACTGTGAAACTCAGTGTAAGATAGTAAGAAAACTGGTGAACGCTCGTCACCTGGATTAGAGACAACCATGAGGATAGTGTCTGGCGAATATTTTACAAGGTTAGGAATAATTCCTTTGAAGATTTCCACATTCCTTTGAACAAGTGAAAGACGGGTCTCGCCCTCTCTTTGGCGAGCTCCAGCCG